GGTTACTGTGTATTTCTCTCTCCAAAACGTCCATGAAAATTTCTGCCAGAATAAGACTAAGTGGGTTTTTCATTATGAGGCCTTTGCAGGGCGAGTGAAAAATTTCATTGAATTGGAAGTAATTCTGTGACAAAGAAACCGTAAGCAAGTCTAATATTTTGTGATGGTCGTTTTCTCTCAACTTATCTTGTCGTCTCAGGTCAAAAGACGCAATCTCATGTTTTTTGTTTTGTTTTGCCTCGTTCAAGACAGCACAAAATATGAAAAGCGAGAATACCCTATTTTGGTGGCAACAATATATCTTTGGTGGAACCACAATGTTTTTTTCAATATATGGAAAGTTAATTGAATTTTTGTGCAATATATCTTTTCAATACGTTTTGAAAATACATATCTGCCAAGATTTGGAAAAAAATCAAATTTGGGACAAGAGGGATGGATTTTGTGGTGTTATTCTCCTTTATTTATTCTATTTAACCTATCCACTTTTCTTCACTCTTGAATCTCAAATAAATCAACAGCTCATACAATTCAATTGCATATTGCTGATTGGTGAGGATTTTGTGAATCAATCGTGGTTTCTACTCCAAAACGAATAATCTTTTCCAGCATCTTGAACACAAAACTCGACAACATGTAAAATCATTGGATTATGGGCCAAACCTTTTACCAAATATATAAGTAGTTTCTACCGTAAGTTGTGACGTGGACTTTAGCTCGAGGTGTACGGGGAATTCCGTCTGTAGTCTACATCGTACGATTTCTTAATCATAAAGGTGTCCATGCAGACGCAATCTGAAACTGCAAACAATAAAATATGGTTTCACTGTACAATAATGCAGAAAATTGGCCAATAAGGACTGAAATTTATTAGTTTTGCGATAAGAATTGAAAAATAAGCTATTATCTTTAAATGGAATGTAAATACAATTTAGTAGCAAACAACATGGAGAGCAGGAGCGATAAATTTTATTTTTAATGACTTGAGTTGATGTTGCTCTATATTTTTCAATTATAATTGAGTACTTACTCTTGTAAGGTATTCATAAGTTGTCGAATCATTTCTGAAGAATGTTATTGACTTCAGAACATTGAAAAAAGATTACTGTGGAATGACACTGTTAGTACCCAGTGTCTTGAAAGTTTTCCTGAATGAACTTGCAATTGTTGCCTTTGATGATTTTCCGAATATTCTTATTTTTTCAAGGGTAACTACAAAATATGTCTTGAGTAATTACAACCAGTGGGCTTATTATCGAAAATAAATTTTGTGTCATAATAACTATCATAAGTATGAAAAATTTGAATTATTTAGCATGGTCGACTGCGAAAGAGAATTTCAAGAGCAGTCCAAATGAAAGAAACAATTAATTAATCTTTAAAACGTACACACACAATTATTATCTGTTTCATGCAGCAATCGTTTGAAAACACTTGTTTGGATGATTCCGGTCTGAATATTTTTAGGCATACACCCTCAACACCAGAAGGGAATTCTCTAAACACTCAACAATCGCCTAAATCATATATACACTCTTGAATATGATAAGTTTTCATTTTTAATAATTCAGTGAATCTTTTGAAGAACGTAAAACACAATAACTATGATAAGATATCTTTCAACAAGTTGAATAAATGTCGTTTCAATGCTATCTTGATTGAAAGAATGCATTGAAAAAAGAAATACTACTTGAAAAAGCCACTATCTGAACCTCAATATGAAATGAAAGAGAACTGAATTTTAGATTGTTAAGACCAAAAAAATACAGGGTGTTTGTTCTATTCGAAATAACAAAGTTATCTTTGTCCGAAATTATGAAAAAGTGCTAAGCTAAGCTAAGTATAAAGATGGACAAGATTTGGATACCAAAAAAGGAACACGTCACATATGCACCGAGTCATCATAATGAGTTAACCGCACAGTTGTGACCTGTGACCTGAGGCGACCTCCGCGGTTTGCCTTTCTTTTTGAGTTTTATGTCCACGAGATTATATACCTACGAGTATATATAAACGAATCTAAAAATGTACAAATATACAGAGTTTCCAAATATGGATCAACAAGACATCATGAAAGAAGGAATACGTCTAAGTTATATTCAATATTTGACCTAACTCATCAGAAATAATAATTTCTCATTATTATTCTTGTATATAATTTTGAAGCATTTTTTTTTAATTCTACTGCTAAACAATGTTTCTGAGAAATTTTGTGAAAAAGTTTCGATTTAAAAAAAATTGTACCATTATAATATTCAGAGAAAATATAATGCTCTTGAACAAATAACGAATATTCCTTATTTATTTTATGAACAAAGTGTATGGCATCTTTTACATTGAGAAAGAGTGTAATTTCGACATGAAGCCAATCGTCAGAAAACTGAGTTCATTGTTGTTCCACACGTCGGCGTCGTCAAAATAATCGCGTAAAAGCACGTTCAAATCACAAAACGAAATATTTTATTATCTTTTGATTTGTAAATACATTGAGCGGCGATTAATATTTGAATTGTTCCGTCACTAACAGGTTAATGATGATGTGTTGAGATCATCAAGTTTCGGGTGAGTCGATTGTGAATGTTAAGTTTTATTTCTGGATTTCTCAAATGATTTTAATTTATTGATCGGTGAAAATTTTGAATGAGATACTTGTGCACATGTCATAATCAAAAAAAAATTGGTTCCACGAATATTCATTATACATATCAGTACCTAGAATATGAAATTTTAGAAAATCGTAAGAAAAGTCAGTAAGAATTTCGCAACATTTCTCGGAAAATGACAAAAGTGTGGGTGTTGAGAAGTGAATCAATTTTTTTATATATCGCCTCAGTTTTCAATATTGATTCTGAATATGCATTCAGAAATAATTTTATTATTCAATACTTATTCCGCAAAAATTATTCCAGTTAGAAGAATAGATTTTACGAATAACATAGGTATAGGTATTCGCCCATTGATCAGTGAAACATGGAAATATTAAAAGAATGATGTACCTCCATGAAAAAAAAATCTTCATCAATGCTTTTCACAATGTTATTTGTTTTTATCAGTTATTACAGCATTGGTCGAAACTGATGTCAATAATTTTATTAATTTAAGATTATACATGAAGATTCAGTTCAAATTACGTTCAGATAGTAAAGAAAATAAGAAATAAAATAAATATTTAAGTTGTTCTAAGGCGTTCGACAGACTCAATCACAAATTGCTGCTATCGAAATTGTACAGGTACGGCTTTTTTCTGAGCCTGATCCAACTTTTTCATACTTCATACATACTTCACTGGCTTCATGTCTGTGGAATATTCAGCTATCTCGAGTGTTCCACAAGGAAGCAACCGAGGTCCACTTCTCTTCAACGCCTTCATAAACGACATATATTTCATCAGTTCGGATTTCCATTGTCTAATATAATATAAATTGATTTGAAATCCCAAATATAATCTGTAAGAAATAAAAATTAAAAATCAAAGGATTCCAAACCAAGTTACGTCACGACGTTTCGATTGTGAGTATCCACAATATTCTTCTGTTTCTGTCTGTTTTTGTCGATTTCATACAAACGACAACTCTCAGAAGTTGAGAAACTTGTGCGAGCTGAGGACTAACGAGGTCTTACCTTTTAACGTGTGATGCCTACTTCGTGTGAAGTAGTGGTGTTATATCTTCCTCAAGTTACTACAATGGAATCTATTTCATTCAATTGTAGTCGAATTCAATTAGTCGAATTATAAATTGAGGGATGTAGCCGGTTACTAAGTGGTAGGAAATCATAATAAAGACAAGAGAATTGAAACTTTCTATGATTTTTACCACTTTAATTAGTAACTAACGTTACTGCAGTTTCTTCCTATAAGGACATTTTCAAACTTATACATTAAATGTATAAGCTACATACATTAAATGTATAAGTTTGAAAATGTTCTTATAGGACGAAACTGCAGTAACGTTAGTTACACATAAAAGTGGTAAAAACATAGGATGTTTCAGTTCTCTTTTTTTCATTGGTCGAATAATATTTGAATACTTGGTTCTCTACTGTTTACGATATATACTTAACAAATGTCAAAATCGCTTCCTAATAGTCATATGCACGTACGAAAGTGATTTCAAACCATATCATTCGTTTATATCAAGTAACACACTGATTTTTTCTCAAGCACAACCATGGCAATTGAATTTTCACTTGGAATTTCCACTCTATATAATTTTTATATTTTATCGACTAGAAATTTGTGAATTTTCAATCACGAACAGATGGCAAATGTACTCGTATGATTTGATTCTATTCATAATAATTATTATTTCTGACTGGGATATTATAAGCTTATATCGTCATAGTTACGCTATCAATAAAGAGGGTCATAACTCCCTTGGGACATTATAGATTTTATTAATTCCCTCTACCTTTCACAAGTAAAAATAAATAGAAATGAAAACTGAACCATATTTTATTTATTCACGTCATTACAAATAATAAATGTACAATTTTGAAAATTACTTCCGCCACTGGAAACAATTTCTTCTTTTGTATGGCTGGAGCTTCTGTTCACTACAGTCGAGGTACCTGCCTCTTCTGATGACAAAGTAAACAACATACGCGCCGTTTTATTTCTCAATTCGATGCTATCCTCCAAATACCCCTCCGCCAACGTGGAACTTTTCCAACCTCCGTGTCTTTTTAAGTTAGTCATAGTTGCTCCCGCATTGGCTACAGCAGTAGCAGAAGTGCGACGAAGGCAATGTCCCGTATAGGAAGATGAGTTTGGCAATCCTAAATACATTGCGATTTTGCTGGGGATTTTCCCAAACATGTTTTTTCCAATTGGCTGAGATGTACATTTATTTTGTCGGAAGCTCAAAAAAAATCGTTCAATACCTTTAGGACGCAAAGACATATAAAGTCTCAATAAAGGCAAAGCGGAGAACTCTTTTTCATCCACAACTGTAAATTTCTTCGATACACCAGTTTTACTTTCCGGTACGTTCACTACCATAACGGAATCCCGGTCCTCTATATCCGATATCTTCATATTCAAAAGTTCCTGACTTCTGCATCCTCCAAAATAACCCATAATCAAAACAACCTATAACAAAAAAAAGGAAATAAATACACACAAAAAGGAAAATAAGAAAAAAATTACCTTATGCAATAAATGAATATCATTAGGAGCGTCCTTTAGGAATCTGATAACATCTTTAGGAGATGAAACAGCCAGTCCAGATATATCTTGTATTCTTTTTGGTATACGGCTTCACTTTTCGATGGAATTAATGATTCTCTTGCTTGTTCAGCTTTTTTCAAAATATCCTCCATTATATTTGGGGTAGAAAACACGTTTTCACCGCAAACACAGCTTGATAACAAAGTTCTGTTTATAAACAAGTAACATAGCAACAACCTAGCAACAAGAAAACTCTACTATAATCAACGGTACCTGATTCAAATATACCGGGAAGGTAATGAATTGGTACATTTTTCCGTTTCAAAAATGAAAAAATTTTTATTGAAATCGGTCAGAAATAAAATTATCTATGTACCACGGGAATTAATGAGCCTTAATAACCTCAGGCAATTGCTGTCCCTCGGGCCAGAGGCCCTCGGGACGCAAACTTTGCCATCGGTAATTAAGGCCCTCCTAATTCCCTTGATACATAAATAACTATTAAAGAACATTCACAATAAATTTCGATCAAAGTGCGTTTCGCTACACGGTAGCTTCATCAGTTACTGGTACATCAAACTATTCTTCAATATCTTTTATATATCAGTAGGTAACGACAAAACCTATTAGATGAATGATAATTCTGACAAAACAGGTAGAATTAGGAAGCACAATCAATACAATATAATTTCTAAAAAACAGTTGATGGAAAATACGTTAATTAATGACATTAATGAATATTTGCGTTTATTGATTTTCAGATATTCTAGCAGCACGATTTCAACATGACTACTATGGACTGCATTCAGAAAATGAACAACAAAAATCAAACCTGTTAGAATCTTTGGAAATCAATAAATGCAAATATTCATATTTTTTTTAATGACCAACATGAAGTTATTCATTCACCATTATTGAACTTGTTCTCATAAAATGTCATCAAATAACATAATAACCGTTTTCCTAGAAACAATATTGTTATAATTGTGCTTTCTGGATATATCTGTTTTGTTAGATTCTACCATTCATCTAATGAATTTTTGACAAATAAATGCCAACATTTTACTTCATTGTTTATTCAAAATCTATCTATTTAACCAGATTCAATCATTCATCCAATGATGTATTCATTATCCACTGTTATATAAAAGACATTGTAGAATAGTTTGTACCAGTAACTGATGAAGATACCATGTAGTAAAAAGTGTTTTGAATGAAATTTATTGTGAAAATTTTATAATTGTTATTATCATGGAGACTGCTATTGATTTTGATCAAGTAACGGGTCAGAGCATTCATAATATAATTTAATGTTTCAGAAAACAACAAATCGTAACAGTATCAATAAAACACATTATGGAAGCTAAAAACATGTTTCAGGAAAAGTCTATGAACTGAATTCAAAACAAATCAGTCTATGCTGTCATATGCAATTGCAAAAATTTTGCGAATACAAAGTTTCAACTATCTAATATGCGACTAATTTGATCGACGCTCGATGAAAATCAATTACTATTCAAGTAAAAATTCATCGTGACATTTTCACTGAATAGTTTAAACAATCGCAACACGTGTTTCCTTATACAAAAGCTACCTCATATTATCCTTCCGAAGACTTATTTGGTAAAATTGTCATTCGAAACAGGACGCTTCTCACAAATGTTGAAAATAGGAAAAATTATCCCAATTCACAAAAGGAATGATACTCGACAGCTCAGTAATTATCAGTTACTGTTCCAAGTAGCTATTCCAAAATATTAGAATATGAATTGATGGATGTAGCCGTTACTACGTGATAGGAAATTAAAATGAAGGAAAGAGAATTCCGTTTGTATACGTTTGAAAGTGTCCTTATACGACGAAACTGCAGTAACGTTAGTTACAAATAAAAGTGATTAAAAACAAAGAAAGCTTCAATTCTTTTCTTTATTAGAATATGCTTTATTTAATTGATTAGAGAACAAATTTAAAATTGTAAGCGAACAACAACATGGTTTCCGCTCTGGTATGTCTACCAACACGGCTATACAGTCCTTTCATTCAGAAATATTGAAATTCCGTGAGGCCGGCGAGTGCCCGGTGGGTATTTTTTGTGATCTTAGTCGGGAGTTCGACTGTGTCGATCATACAAAGCAAACTGCATTCTTACGGATTGAGGGGTGTTTCTCTAGATTGGATAGCATCATTTTTGACAAATCATGTGCAATATGTGAGCTTAAAGTATAAAAATCATAATAAAGTAGAAAATGTATCATCTTCAAACTCGGAAGTCAATGTGGGTGTCCCGCAAGGCTCTATTTTAGGCCTATACTTTTTCTTCTCTACATTAATGGAATCGATACATCATCTCCTAGGATACAATTTACATTATATACTGATGATAATATATCATTGATTATTTCTAACAAATCTAACAATTACAAAATGAATGCGAGTCTTTAATGAAGTGGTTTTGGTCAAATAAATCGTAAAATTTCAGACAGCCCAACAACAAAATTAAACTATCTAATGAAGAAATTGTAACTCGTGATACTGTGAAATTCCTAGGTATTGAACTAGACAAAAATCTTGGGTTCAAAACACATTGCGAATCATTAATATCTAACCTCAGTTCATTCTATCACTTGATTTATAATTTGACGACTATTCTAACTCAGGAACAATTAATGAACTTGTACCATGCACAGGTGGAATCTCGTTTGAGATAAGGAATTCATTTCTGGGGCAACTCCATACATTCTAGGAACAATTTATTGCACAAAAAATAATCGTAAGGTGTTCAGCAGGAAAATCAAAACAACACTCTTGCAGAGATCTTTTAAAAAAACTGGATTATTTATTTTTGATATATGTTTATTTGTCTATGGAAATAGGAAAGAAATCCCAAAAAATTATAACACACATAACATCGATACAAGACAAAAGAACCACGCGTAAATCCACCTCTTGCCAGATTGAATATTACCAGTTCTTCGCCAAACTGTATTGGGCCAAGGTTATTTAACAAATTACCTGAGTCAGTAAGAAATTTTACTAGGGAAATGAAATTTAAAAAAGAACTCATTAGTTTTTAAGTTTCATAGTTGTGTAGTATCTGTGACTATCCCTATATAATGTATGTTGTCAATTATGTTAGGAATCACACGTTAAAAGGTAATACCTCGTTATTCCTTAGCTCACACAAGTTTCTCAACTTCTGAGAGTTGTCGTTCGTATGGGGGCGACAGCTGATTATCGGAAAAACAGATTTCAAACAGATTTTTTTTAAACAAATTGGTTGATGTTAATTCAGTGAGAACACGACAAAGGAAGCTATGATATACGTAAACTGTTCAAAAAATAAGGTAAATGTTCAATTTTTGCGCGCTGCGTATATTCGGTTTGTGATTTTTTTTATTTCTTCATGTTATTACACTAGTCTTGAACATATGTTCACAGTTTCAGTTGCTTAGCATGTTTAGTTTGTTGGTAAGACACATAAAAGTTAGAAGTCTCTTCCGTGTTAGGCAATTTCCTGCTATAGAAAAAAATGGATCAAATTTGTTGCGTAAAAAATTAGAATAAGTGTTCGAAAACACTTTAAATATTGACAGTGGCATACGTTGATTGTACCTCAGAGCTAGTACTAGAGTGCCAGCAAGATTTAGCCAAAGCCCCGGTAGATAATAGCATTATCCTGAGGTGGGTTAAAGGGTACGACAGGAGTAAAGGTAATCGCATTGTTAACTCTTTAGCCAAGGAAGCGGCTGGACTAAGAATTTTAGGACCCAGTGGCACCTATAGCCTGATGACTTCGACAATTGCGGAACTATAGCCCATAATATAGGGCTAGTGGACACACCTCTAGGCAGGATGTGTGCACAGGAAGATGGAACTATCAGGCATGTCCTATGCGAATGTCCGAAGTTATCGTCAATAATAGAGTGTGTGTTCGGCGAGTCTTGGCCTACACCTGTCGATATAAAGGAGATGCCTCCCAGAGACTCATGAAAGGAAAGGATGGACGACTTGGGATAATATACAATGGGTCATAGGTGGCCAGATGCTGCGGGCCTACACTCACCCTACCAACTCTACAGGTACAGATACAGATAAAAATGATAAAAGTGATACAGCTTGTCAAATCTAGGAAGAGACTTGAGAATTCTCTCTCTCTCTCTCTCTCTCGCTCTTATAGTCTTCTAACGAACGCAAATCTAGTGGGCGGGACTATAACTGAATTTAGAAAGCTCTTTCTACATTTGACAAGCTGTACAAGGTTTTCACAGAAGGTCGAGAAGATGTGAATGACATCGCTTTCCCTGAACAACCGCCTCATCACATCAACAACCGATGAAAATGTTGGGAAAGTGTCGAAAAATATTATTGCGAATTGTTGGATATTTTTGACATGAAGCTTGTAGCAGCGAAACTCGTTCCAAAATTGCTGAATTTTAACCAAAAAACCGTCGCATGAGCATCGCTCAGGAACTGACGTCAACGGACCAAATCATGACCAAATCATGAGTATATGGTTAGGACATCCAATCAAAAGTCCAATCGTCTCAATGGACGAGCCCAGGAGAGACAAGACCAAAAAAGCACGCCAAATTCGATCAATAGTCAAGGTTTTGCTTACTGTTGTTTACGATTATCGTGGCGAAGTGCATCAGGAGTTCTTGCTATATAATCGTACGGTCGAAAAGGAGTATCATTTTGAAGTTACGCGCCGCTTGCGAGAAGCAATACGAAGAAAACGTCCAATATTGTGGAAAAACAATTCATGGCTTTTGTATAACAATAATGAACCTGCTCACTCGTCATTGCTTGTTTGTGATTTTTTGCCAAAAACAAAAACAACATCGTAATCATTCGTTAGTCATCGTATTCACCAGATTTGGCGCCCTGCGACTTTTTCCTGGTACCAAGATTGGAGAGACCCATTAAAGGACGGCGTTTTACGACGATCGAGGAGATAAAAACCGTATTATATCTGAGGGGGACTACGTTGAAGGGGACAAAGTAGAAATTGATGAATGAATAAATATTAAATAAATAATAAAGTGAATGTTTTTGAAACTGATGTTTCGAAAACTCATCGAACATGACTTTCCTGACCAAAACAAATAGATTGGTGGAATGCATGTCTAGAATAGTTTTACAACTTTGGTATGCCGCTGAAGTGTTTTTGTTGCATTCATTCCATGTCAGAAGTTTCAATTATATCTGACTGAATAGTTGTTGTTCAAAGTCGGAGAAAGTTGAAATGCGTTTAATTTCATTAAATACTTTTCTCATGAATCATAAATCAGTTTAAAATTTTTAGTGTTGCGAAATCTGAAGTGAACTTCTGTTTTGATTCATTTCAAGAGATTGGAAATGGTATTTTCAGAACACCTGAAGGAATATGAAATATTTGAAGAATTTTAAACTGATATGATTCAATAAGAATTGGTGGAGTAGGTAGTCAATTATGAAATATACTTTTTGAAACCTAAGATTCGGTATTTGTTTACATCAACATACGAGAAAATTTATAATGAGTATTAATATCAAATTCAATATGAGTTGTGTATATCCTGGAGTATAAGGAATATTAAACCTTATCTTCAAACGTAATATCGAATTTTTCACTCAGTACCCAATTCAAAAGTGGAATGGGGTGTATTACGGGGTCATTGTCATTGATTTCGAGTGGTGCTTACTTGTCATTTTTATCAAAAATTCGTATGAACGTGCGTCGTAACTTGTTTCGTTTTCGAGTAACGGGGTGTTAACAGTTTTACTAAAAAAATATTGATTATTAATAACGTTCAATTATTCTCGCCGATTTTGATTGAACTACGTGTATTCAAAAAACACTAAACAGTTTTACAAAAACGTAACACGTGCTTCGCCATACAATGGCTTCTTCGGGCATGTCTTATGTACCAGTTTCCACATTTGAAAAAATATTTAGTAACGGAGAGTTATTTGATTGTATTTGGTCATTCAGTAAATTACCCGAATTCTTGTATCTATTTATTTCTAGACATTCTAGAAGATTGGGACTCAAACTTTCCTCTTCTGAATGTAACACGTCGTATTCATAATTGAACTCATGCCCGTCTGCTGGAAGGTGGTTTGCAAATGTGGAATTGGTCTTTCAATTCAAGAAACTACTTCTGTTCTCTTCAATTCTTTGGGAAAAAGTTTTTCCTGTTTGGCCAATATACAGTTTTGGGCAAGAACTACAAGTCAGCTTATTGTCTTTATTGTTTTTAATAAATTTACTTAGACCATTTCTCATTCTGTAAGATACGTCTACACAGTCTTTTTCCAAGAAACGGGCGATATTTTTTTGAAGTTTTTGAAAATATAGTATCTACCTCATAATCGTTGTTGACTGCGTTTTGTTTGATGAAACTCAGCTCTCTCTGGAAATTACTCTTCGACAGTGGAATATTCAGTAGTCTGTGAAGCATACTATTGAATGCAGCTACTTCATGCTGGTAAGGGTGTGTGGACAGCCCTGGATCTTTATTTTCTACTAGGCGGGGCACTTATATTTGAATTTACCTTTATTTTCTTTATAATTTCAGCTATCAGACGTCCACTAATTTGGACATAGGCCTTCCGTAAATGATGCTTCCATCTAACATAGCACAGGATAGAATTTAGAATAAACATATGTATATCGAAAATAAACATCAAATATATTATTGTAAATGGAATTTGTGAACACACTGTGCTTTAGAGCGCAGGATGGGCTCAAATTTATAAAAACATGGTGTAAGGAACACTCACTGTCGATCAATCCCAAGAAGACTGAGATAGTCCTTTTCACCAGGAAAAGAAATTGATCCGGCTTGACTACTCTGAAGAGGTGAAATACCTTGACACTCTCACCTGCAGAGTAGAGTATATCTGGCTTATGAGCAATGTCGGAGGACAGTGGGACTCGCATGGGGTGTTTTATTCCGTGTGGTCACCTGGATCTACAATGCAATAATAAGACCTATGTTGAAGTAACGAGCCATTGCATGGGGACCGAAAGTTCTACAATCAATGACCATCCAAAAGTTATATCAAATACAGCGATTGGCTTGTTTAAAGATCACAAAAGCCATAAGAACAACACCGCGGCAATGGAATTAATTACTGTACCACTACAAGAAACTGTTAGTTAATTGATCGTTAAGGATTTCATTCTTTATGTTATTCATGAAAATTCCAGCCAGCAAAGGACTTAACGGATTTCCCATTATTAGTCCTTCACTGCATGAATACAATTTCTCGTCGATTTGGAAATAACTTTGAAAATAGTCAAATAGTAAGTAAATCTAAAATTCTATAAGTGGATTCATATGGTTTTCGTCTAAGAGACGCTCAATCAGTTGAATTGTGAAGGACGTTAGTTCAATCATGAACACGTGTTACTTTTATTAGAAGAGTAAAGTTTGAAACTCCGCGGCAGAAAATCTGTTACTTCTCTGTCTTGTTCAACAAATATTCATTACTACTGCTATATTTTAGTTGAATGATGTATAAAAATGTTTCATTGTTTTCAAGTTATCCAAATGTGTCAGAGTATTAGGATATCAGTTTTATCTCATCATATTCATAATAATTACTGAGCAATAAATATTTGACTTACCGCTGATTCCCTAATGATTATATGATGATTCAAAGGCAATAATTTGTGAGTAAATATTCAGTATTGCGGTAGACATGTCCTAGGTGGGTTTAATGAAAGTGTTACATTGATGATTTGATTTTTACTTGTATTTTTCAAGTGTGAAAGATAACTTTAACAAGTGTAGTACAAGTGGAAAGTAGAATAGTTGATCAATAAAATTCACCGAGTGAGGTTTAGAGTGTATATATTCAGACTTACTTACGATACGACTTACTGATTCAAATAGTTGATGGTTGAAGTTATTTGGTGAGTTTTATTTCGATTCTAAGTATATATATTATTCAGATCTTGAAAATGCACATTTGAAACAGAGTCATGGATTTGGAATTTTTAGTGTATCTCGATTTATTGAAAGGACGCCGTACGGTGAAATACAATAAACAAATTTTTTCGAAGTCAAGAAATTTGTTATGATTGTTGGAATCAACATAATTCGATGCAAGATTCCTCTCAATGAAAATGTTTACCCGGTACTAACTGTCTCGGATGATTTCAATGAAGTTTCAAATATTAAATGACAGACAACTTCATAGGTTTCTTAAGCATTTGATCGTTTTTCAACGCCAACGTCAATTGAGAATATATTTGAAATCTGTGGCTCATGTCACGCAACTGCTTTTCCTTGATTCATGAAAAATTATAAGTATAGTTAACGAATATTTCAACTACATCAACTAAATGAATTGTGTATTTTTTTCTTATATAAATCTATATTTGGTACTGAAGAGCTGAAAAGACAAGTGTTTTACGGCTAAACAATTGATGTCTACCAGTGAGGATGACAGTGTTCCTTGTAAGAAATTTTTTCATTTAGTATATTGTGTAGAAATCCTGTGAATAATATCTGATTCAGTTCCATAACGAATGTTTGGAATACAAACTGAGTAGAGAAAAGTGTTTTTTCGTATAATTCAGTATTCATACAAGAGTATTTGTTTCGAAAGAATTTTTCTTTCGTGTAATTCAATGTTTATATGAAAGTAGCTGTTTCAAGGGGGCTTTTTCTTCCAGTTTGTGTGAAAGTATGATCTACACATCTACGTATAGAGTTACTTTTTTGAAATTGATTGCTTCTCTCCTTTCTTTGGAAGATTCCCACATTTTTTTGTATCAAGATAGAGCAGTAGAAAGCCAATAACTTTTTTTTCCATCCTTTTTCTGTCTCTCTACAGGGCAGGTGGATGGTATTACATCGATGTTCAGCTACATGGCTTTCGTTATCAGCAGAGATGGATATCTCTGAGGGTATTGAAATATTAATTTAATATTATCACAAGTTGATTGATGACTGATAGGCAATAATCAGTACTGAGGTTGTGTTCCAGGTGAGTTTATTTCGAATATTTCGTTCAACAATATCATAATTCTGTGTTTTCCATTATCAATTTATTGTTTCAATAACATTACTATTTTCATAAGAGACTGTTTGAATCAGCTATCTTTGAATATGTCAATTTGAATATTTCAAATAGCAATAATAACTACACACCACCAGAAAGTTAATTTCAAATTATGAACAGCGTTTTCCTGAGTCAAAGAGTAAGGGATAAAGAAGAAATCCGGTCAATCTAGACATTGGAAGGTACATACATTTACAACAAGCTGCAAACGCGTGTAATTGTTCAAAACATAGTTAAAAATAAGATTTTGAAATTCTGAATGAATGCGATGCCTGGAAAAAATTTATTCGAGTTCAAAGGTCAAAAATCTCGAAAAAAATTGGTTTTTCGCGATTTTCAGAAAAACGATAAGTTTTATCCTAAAACAACTTCAAACAAAAATTGTAGATCATAAAATTCACTACAAAAAATGTATCGATACTTTTTTTTTCTTAGAGCCACCGTTTCTGAGATACGACGAGTCAAAAAGTTGTAAAAGTTGTAATCATCATTATATGCATACGTTTCCACGCCACCTATGAGGTAGTGTACTTAGCGCGTTTTTTTAATGTGGAATAGGCCAGTAGGCCTATTCCACATGTCTGTTGTGATTCTGTCAAATTGAAAACTTGCATAATAAAATATATTAGGAAGGGTTGAAAATTATAAAAGCGATTGAAATTAAAAAAATGTAAGAATTTATTCATCTGAGTCATAACCTTCAAATACTTCTTCTTGGTCTTCTTCTTCTTGATCTTCTCCTTCTTGATGTTCATCCTGGGTGTAGGTAAACTGCGCCAAGAGTGATGTATCGCATGTTTCCTCGTTGGTATCAAATGAATCCTCCACTATTGGTGATTCAGCATTAGAACATGACTGGCCTTGACAATGTGTACATGCCAGAGAACAGTCCAACTTTTTTACAACTATATTTAGCGTTGTATCCCTTTTTACAGTTGCAAAAATTGTGTTCAGCAGGTTTTCCGGCGCAGGTGGGAGTAAAGTCTGAATAGGTTCTAATGCATTGTCGACCAACTTCCAACCCCAGTCTTTTGGGTCTAGCTGATAACCAAGTCACACTTGAACTTGGTAATATACCCGGAAAAGATGTTGATGAGCAGCAACTGAGGTTGGAGGAAGACAAGCTAATTGCACTTGTTTCTTAGTTTTAGTATTTTTTACGAAACATGCATATCAATACTTATCTAAGTATTGATGGTTTTTTTCGGAGCTTTGTACATAGAAAGAAGAAACTGAATCCCGTTGGTGATAATTTCTTGTTGAGTCGAATTACTTTTTTTGAAAAATTCAGCACATTGAATTTTGTTTTTCAAACATTGTTTTTCACACAATTGAACAGGGAGACAGATGTTGGCTCAAGGTTACAGTAGCGTACAAATTAAGGGACTGCATTTCATTCTACCTGATATTCTTATATTTATACTTATTTTCACTAATAAAAAAATATTTTTACTTAAATTACAACTCAGTCTAATTTGACCGGATAAACAGGTTCATTCCGAAAAGATAAATTATTTTGTATTGGACAGTCGAAAAATATATATTTCGTGAGCATTTTTGTCTCACAAACTCCACAAAGTTTTTGTGCATTAATGCTTTATTGCATATTTTCAACTGAGCCAAAGTTTTCGTTATTTGTATTGGAAATTTCAGTAGAAGATATTTTTATGGTTGGCTTGTCACAAATTGTCGAGTAATTGACTCAGATGAATTCATACATTTGTATTGTTGTGGCCAATTTTTGGTACTTCTCAGTTATACATACTGAAAATTTTCAACAGATATTATCAGTTTGAATATATTGTAAAATATTCCAACCCAACCGGTTCCTGATCTGACGATAAAGTCTCTTATGTTCTAAGAGAACATTCGACAATGCTTGAGAAAATGAAGTTGAACTCGCTTCAGAATACCAGAGTACTTGATATGCTATCTGGCAAGGCAGTTATTCATAACGCCAAGAACTACCGTTTCAAATGATTTTATTCTGGAGTGCCACCAGTCCATTATAGCTTTGGCCGTCATTGACAATATAGCACATAGAGCTTGTTATTTACAAGTATCTGTTATTTCTTGAAAAAAAACTGAAACGGAACAAACGGCCACCCAAACAAACATATTCACTTACCATTTCAAGGTTGTTACCACTGAAACGAAAGTTATAATTTTTTGAACGCACCGCAATTATTGAAAAATGGAATCGAGAACTTTTAGAGATCAATTATTTCAGTATCCGCAAGTACAGCCAAGTCATCAGCATATTCTGGCATTAGGAATCAGTCGATTTATCGATATTCAGGCCACTTCCTCGTATAAAAACAAGTTCAAGTTAACGATGAAGTTGGTTTTAGGAAAAGAAATCTTCAAAATACAAATTGTTATCCATTGAAAAACTTTGTATTTCATCTTTCCTCGAATTTTTATTTGGTACTTTGATGAGCTGTCGCGAATGATAGAAGAATGATATCAAGAAATATTACACTATTCGCATTCAAACTTGGGATCAAACGATTCCTCGAAAATATCAGCTTCCATGTTCTTATGATAGTCAACATCATAGTCCTTAAGTTTTTTTTCACATTATTTCAAAGAATTCGGAACCCATTCTTCACTACTTCCTCCGCAATACACGATGATTATTTGCGATCTGTTTGCAGGCATGTTAGGCGTACACATTTTCGAACCATCAGTCCACCCTTTCGTATCTGAGTCGTGAGTGTCATACCAAGTTTCGTCCGAATAGAAAATTTGCCGTTGTTCTTGTCTATATTTAGTTATTTATACTAAGTATTTGTTACGCAATTCCACTATACTTCTTCTATACATAACTGCTTGACATTTGATCATCCTTTTGAATCTAAATCCTAGTTTCTTTATCCAATTCTGAAGAGTTTTGTCAGAGCAGCTCACTTCATGACTAGAAGTATTCAATTTCTTTCTTATGATTTCAGATGTAGGAACCTTATTGCTTTTGTAACAGTCGTATATTGTTTTTTTCAATGATTATATTAGATGAATATCTAAAGGTTTTGGTAATTCTGTATCATATCGCGTTTTGCGTTCATAATGTTTGTTTCTGAGTATTTTACGTACAGTTGAGAAAGGAATTTCGGTCAAATCTTAAGTTGCTTGTAATAGCTTTTTTTCTTCGAAACCAAACTCAAGATGTAGATTCTTATATACATTGAAACATACTCTCTTTGTTTCAATATTCAAATCCATCCGAATCTTATTCGGATGCATTTGAATCTTATTCGGATGCATTTACTAACTCGATTAGTAAAAATTATAAAAATTATCCAATACGAACCGCCAAGATTACAGTCCTCGTGGACTAGTTCGCTGCCGGTTCATTTGTATGTATTGGTGTTTTTGACCTTTGAGAGTGCCGTCAACTTCAAGAATGCACAATATCATTTACTTCGACTATACTGAAGAGCTATTAAGGAAAGTGTCTTACGGCGAAACATCGGATGTCTACCAGTGAGTATGACAGTGTTGTATGTAAGTGAAATTTTTACCTTTCATTTAGTATATTGTGTAGAGATCCTGTGAATTAAATCTGATTCAGTTCAACAAAGAATGTTTGGAATACAAACTGAGTGAAAAAAGTATTTTTTTGGATAATTCAGTATAGTATTTGTTTTGAAAGAATTATTCTTCCGTGTAATTCAATATTTATATGAAAGACGCTGTTTCAGGAAGGCTTTTTCTTCCAGTTTGTGTTACTTCTTTGTATGATCTATACATCTATGTTGGTAATTATTTCTTTTGTAATTGATTGCTTCTCTTCTTTTTTGGAAGATTCCCACATTTTTTGTATCAAAAAACCTTCTTTCCCGTCCCTTTTCTGTCCCTCTACAGGACAGGTAGATGATATTACACCGATGTTCAGCTAAATTGCTTTCGTTATCAACAAAGATGGATATCTCTGAAGGTAATGAAATATTGGATTTAATATAATCACAAGTTGATTGATGACTAATAGGCAGTAATCAGTGCTGAGGTTGATATAGAATATTCCATTTAACAATATCATAATTCATCTTATGTGTTTTCTATTATCAATTTATTGTTCCAATAACATTACTGTTAGCATTTCTAGATACTATCTTAAACCAACTTTTTCTGAGAGTTTTTTGAACTATTTTTCGAAACATAACTTTCACAGTAAAATCAAAATCATAAGGAATTTGAAATCAAGAGCAATTGCCATTTTCAATTCTGAATTTCATTACAAAAATTTCCAATTAATTGTAAAATGATTATAGCAAGAAGTTCCTTTTCCAAAAATACAGGGGTGGAACCCAAATATCACAAAATTCCATTTGTAGAAAATGTATTGCATGAACTTGGAATGCTTCTCAGTACCGAATAATGAGGAGGCGTTTTTGAATAGGAATACAGTTGGAAGGCCTTTTGTTATCGAAACAAAAAACAAAAACACCAAAAGAAATCAAATCCAATATAGTGTTCAAATTGAACTGAGGAAGCCTTCATGAATGCTATGTTGGTCAAACCCAACGGTATCTTTAAACACGAGTTTCAGAACACCTGAGAGACTCTAAGAAAGTAAATATAGAAAACCCCACAGCCCTCGTTGAACATGAAAAACACTATGGACACACTTTTGATTTTGATCATATAACTGTTCTAGATGAATACATATGAAATGATACATATCCTCAAATGAAATGGTGTTAACACTAAAAGAGTTGTCGATTGCCGTATATTTGCATATTTCAATAATTTACTCCTTTTTCATTCTCTTCTTTCTGTCATTGATTAAAAAACAGACACCACCTTATCAGAATCACAGATAAAGCAATTTATTTGTTTCATGTCGTTTTGTGTTGTCCCGAAAATTTGGTTGTTGCAATGTTTTTTATTTTTCTTCAATATGTATTCAATATGACTAATGATTTTCAGAATAGTAATATTATTAACACGAAGAAACTACTTTTTGGTGAGTAATTCAACTGAAAACTCATTATTTCTTGTGAAATCGAAACGAAAATAATCCTAGAAGTTTTGTGGAAGGTATGTTTATGAAAATTTATTGTTACAGAGCCCTGAAGAAGAATGTAATTGAATTCGAAACGTCGGCAAGAAAACAATTGTTTTTTTAAGATGAAAATTGATCCTGTTACCCAATCAATCTTTCTTCATATAAAGATATCATTTTCTATTCATGAATTTAAGGTTTCTTTTATAGTCTTCAATATAGTCTCCACTGAATTTTATAAATTCTCCAATATATAATGATATTGGTTGTGACCAAGTTATGTACAACTTTTTTTTTTCCATCTGGAGGATTTCTTCATCCGACTATCAACTGGTCAATAACTTTCCCGGTTTCAGTGTTCTTTTGTTTTCTCATTTATTCAGTGTCTATGACTTGAAGAATCGATTTATCGCAATAATTCCTAGATAAATTTGCCGTTCTATTGTGAAACTACAATTTAGCTGAAATTTTGGAATATCCGATAAGTATTTTTTTCAATTGTATCACTTACCTGCGTGTGGATCTTCAATACCTAAAATCTAGCCATCTTTGATCATGAATTGAATGTGGTTAACTAAAAAATAACAAAATGCGGTGCTCCTTCTGATTCATGGTGTGATATATGAGACTTGTAGGTATCTGTAAAATATTATAGTTTGCCAATAGACATTTCAACGTTCATTAGATAATGAAAGATAACTTTTCGAATTGAAGCTCCCAAGAATTATATCCGTTGCAGTAGAAGTTGGGCTATATAAGAGACTTCTAATATAGCCCAACAACAATAAGAATAGGTTTGAGCTTTCTTACCGATTAAACTCCTTTGAAAAAGACATCACAAACAAGTTGTACCAAATGTCCACGTAAATGAGAAGTATCAATGGAAGAGTTGTGAAAACTAGTGATTTAGTTATTTTGAAAATACCTCAAGCATAATATTTATATTTTTCCCGCAAAAGAACTTGTGTGTCATCTCTTGATGATGCTAACTTGGTTAGGGACATTTTGTATTTGACATACAAAAATAATATAATTGTTGAATATGGTAAATCTTTATGCGAAACAATGTGATAATCTTCCAAAGAAAGTAAGGAATCAATGTAGAAGATTTGTAGAGCATGCAAAGAAGTAACTTTTAGACACTAATTGTAAAAGAAACAACTACTACTAATATAAACATTGAATTACACGTAAGAAAAATACTTTCAAAACAAATACTTTTATATGAACACTGAATTATACAAAAAACACGTTTCTCTATTCATTTTATATTTGTTATGGAATTGAATTAAATATCATTTACAGGATCGCTACACAATATAGTAAATTAAAAAAAAGTAAAATTTCACCTACATGGAACACTATCATCCTCACTGGTGGATATCCGATGTTTCGCCATAAGACACTTGCATTATCAGCTATTCAGCACCAAATCTGGGTAACATTTTAAGAAAAGACATTCAATTCATAAATGAAAATGCGACTTTATGTTACGTTACGGGTCATGTGTTACAGAAGAATACTCGTCTATCTAAAAAATGCAGTGCTCCAAAACATTATCATGCATTTGTTTGAAGGTGATTGACAATGTTTCATGATGAATTTCACTAGTTCGGACTTTCATAAGGACTTCCATAATAATATATAAAATGATTTGAAATCCCTGAAACAACTAAAAAAGAAGAATTGAAAATGAATAGCTGAATTTTGCCAACTCCCGGCAAAACGGTCATCTCCCACGCAACCAGTGAAGCGGAATATGGAAAGCGGGGATAAGTGAAAGTACTCGAACGACCTATAAATAGTCATCTCTCGGAGGAATCAGTCCAGTCATCACCCGAAGACGATTGTAGATACTAAAAATCGAAACGTCGTGACTTGGAATATCTCCACTTTTTATTTTCTTTTTTGATTTCTTTATTTTTATTTATTCAATTGTTCTACTTTTACTTGTATTTTATTTCACTATTATTTCATTTCAGGTTTATTTTGGTTAATATAATTGTTATTTTCAGCTATTCATTTTCAATTCTTCTTTTTTAGCTGTTTCAGGGATTTCAAATCATTTTATATAGTAGACAATGGAAGTCCGAACTAGTGAAATTCATTATCATGCATAGTCCACGTGATCTCTGTACAAGTCTGCTTGTACAGAGTCACACTTATGAATGCCAACATTTGATTATTTTTGTTAATAATATGCGACTGAGTATAGGAGAATTTTTCAAGTGGAGTGTTAGGGACACGAATCAGCAGTTTCTTTATTAGCCGGACCAGTACAGTTCTTTAAAATATCGTGTATGTACACACCACATGTGTTCAAACTCAACTACCACTTCGACACTGAATTCCGCCAGCCGATTGCAGTTGAATCTGATTGGCCAGCGTAAGGAGGCTTGTTTATTTGATCCAATACATGAAAATGTGCGTGTTGATGATGCTTTGATCACGCATCTATCTTTGTTTGAGTTACTTCGTTTGTTGGATGGATATAGTGTAGTAACTTGGCAGTAAACACAATGTTTAACTATCATTTTCACTCATTATTCGTCGTTGGTAATGACAAGTAGTTGTTACCATGAATTTATTTTTCAAATGAATGATTAAAAATGATATATTTCTTTCATTTCAGTAATATACGGAAAAAGTGGAAGTTATATCTTTCCTGAAGAAATGACAATGTTGTTGGACTTCGATCAAATTCAATAATGGAAAAATCAACTGAAAACATCCTAACTGTGAGTATCTTGAATTTACTAAATGACATTAAATGTTTCCGGTTTTTATAAACCTACACCAATTTGCTGGACTGTATCATGTGTCATTATTTTAGTTCCAAATATTCCTCTTAAGAACTGAAAGGTGGACTACTGACACTTCGAAATAGACAAGAAGAGTGTTGCATAATGGTTCATAATTGAAGTAAAATGAATTAAGTAATTTTTTTAATGTCAAACGGTTTTATTGAAAAAAAGATAATAATGATGCAGATAATGTACTTGAAACAAATAAAAGCCGAAAGGTTCTAGGTAGCAGTCATCACACCACTCTCCTCAGTAATATACGGATCAGATAAAAAGAAATGATTAAATCGTTGGGCGTAGCGAAACCTGAGTGAGTAAGTGAATACTACGCCCAACGATGTAATTTTTTTATCTGATGAATACTCTAGATTGCTGAGGGAAGTAGTATGATGACTGCTACCTAGACCTATGACCTTCCGTATTATTTTTAGTTTTAATTACATTATCTACATCATAATTTTTTTCAATAAAATCGATTAACATAAAAAAATATTAATTTTATTTTAGTTCTTAGTTTAAAATTTTGTTACTCAATCCTTCCAATTCTGTTCAGTTGATTCAGAGCTCAGTATTACGAAGTAATATGTAATTCGCTATTTTGTAGCAGTGGTCATCTTGAATCTGTATCTTTTCAAAAATGAATTACTATTCTACTAGTCAAGCCCTGTCATTTGATACCGATATTGAGGTGGTAGTGAGAACATTTGTAATCCGTTATTTTGTTGCTGCGGCCAATTTGGATTTACAATGATACAGAATTTGTTGAGTTGTATTGTCATCAAAACTGAATAGGTTTACCAAATATAATAATTATTATAATCATAATTGGAACTATTCGTTTCCCACCCTCAGGCTCATACAAGCTAATAAGCTGATGTAGTCCTTTTCGACCACCAGAGCAAGACGATATTTGTCATGGAGTTTTCAGCTCCTGACGAGACGAATATCGTCCGAAAAGAGGAGGAAAAACAAATAAAATATCGAGATTTTTTCTTCGAATTCCGCAGACTCTATCCAGATCACTCTGTCAAGATGGTTGTTCTGATTATTGGAGTCCTTGGTGGATGTCCTCTATACTCTCGAATATCAGAATCAGACCGGTTTGCCGGACAGCCATATAGATGGCCTTCATTCTTGGCTCACTGCGCTTGGTCAGGGCACATGATTATCGGACCCAATGATCACTTACCCCACGGTGTGGAGAGTGGTCATTGGTTGATAATGCTGGCGCGCCCTCCCGAATGTATCGGGGCTTCGGGGGATAGGGCCTGATCAGCGTACACTACAGTAAAAAATAATAATAATACTAATATTCGTTGTATATTCGAAAAAATGTTGTGATTAGAATATTGTCAGTAAATGGTATGTATTTCAATATCATGTGTAGAGTTTGAAGCTTCTGAGAATTGTTTCAGAGAAATGAAAAAACAATGAAGCAATGGTTCCACCTGATCGATACAGTTTGGGAGATTATATATCATGAAATATTCGACATTTTTGGCGAGAAATGATACATAGGCCTATTTATTTTTTTCGAATGGAATTTGAGCAATTTTGTTAGAAATGCCATTCAGAATTGCCTGGATGACTTGACTGACAGTCCCATTTCAACTTCCTTCAACAACAACTGCCGCTGCTGCTGCTCGAAAATATACTCTTGGCAACAAAAAATTTAATATTGTATATGCATGATAGTGCAACATCACATTTGAGTGTACTTTTTGCAATTATTTGCAAAGATCAAACAGTTTGATCTTTCTCTTGAAGATAATCATTTGGTGATCGAAACACGTGTCGAGGTATTGAAATAACGGTTTGGTGTTGGGAAAAAACTCCAGTAATATTCATTTTAACTTTAATGTGATATAGATCGTCTATACGTTTCCTCACCTATTATGATTATTGTACAATCTTTGTAATTTTAATAATCATTTTTTTGCAGGATGAAAACATTGCAAACGAAGATCACCAAGTGATAGATGTCGAGAATAAAGGACTGACTCAACCCATACTAATAACCGTAGTCAAGAAAAAAGCCAAATCTTTGGTTTTCTTTTCAGTGACTACAGCATTTTTTGCTTGGGCAACATATCATTTCGTCAACAACTCAGGTAGGTACATTGAAAATACAGTGCATTCAAGTTGAAACGGGACACGATATTGAAACTGTAAAAAATGTGAAACACGTCAACTTCAGTTTTCAAGGGGGACACATTTTTATGTGAAATTCAACCACTGGGCAGCCTTATCTTTCCCTTAACAACTCACATGTTTTAAACTTTGAATGGGAATAATAGTCAAGTGATACTTATTTGCCAGGTATTTCAATTCTATATCCAACCCTGCAATATTTTTGACATTTGACGATAAGTAAAGTTAGAAAAAAGTATAATACTCTTTTGAGTTTATTATATCGATTTCAAATTGGAAGGTCAACCTGTATTCATAATTTCACTAATCGGAATATTCAGAGAAAACTCTTGTATGATACTAATGAATATAACAGAAATAAGAATTTAGAAAAAAAAAGTTTGTAGTTCATTTCGAACTAGAAAAAAATGTATCTCATCAAATGTTCGAACTGAGGACGATCAAATTGAATATAATGGTATTGTCGGGACGGTGATAGGTAAATTATTGTTTACACGTGTTCAACGATAATATTTATTAACACAACACAACTACAAAACACTACGACAAAATAGCAATAAGAATTTGAGGGGCCACGTAGTTTGCAGGCCTGACCCTCCGTGAATAGACTCGATGTTACTCACTCCACAGTTCGCACCAGAAAGAACTCCTGTCTCTGGATTTCTCCTCAGGTGGTGAACCGGAAGTTCAGGTTAGCCAACACACATCTCGAGAATTCGACTACTCGATTTTCGAGTGTTCGATTACAGTGTTGGATTTGGATGACTGCTTGACAATAAAGAATTTACATGTTTTTATACTAAGCAGCTGTAGGAAAAGTCCCTACAGTATAAACGAGCTTCTGTTTCCTCTGTTACATAATGAAGAAAAGGTGAAACAGCCCACTGAAGTTCCGAAAATTGCAACTTTTCATCTTGCTTTTTGTACGATACAAACTATAAAAAACACAAGTATCCATTCACCACGTCACCTCCCATCTTTTCGAAATGACACTAGAATACGCGGGTGGTCTGAGAAGTTTCCGACGTAACAAAGATACAACACATTTTTTTCAGATTTTTTTCTTTTTCAACATTGTCTTCTTTCAGCTCTTCACACTTCTCCCAGCGATGCTCTCATCTCTGTAACCAGTCCAAATAGTGCTCGGCGTTTTCCTTGGCAAAATAATTGTTCACGAAGGTGATTGCCTCTTCATTTAACGAAAATATCTGTCACTTGAGCGCAATTTTCAGATTGGGGAACAAAAGTCGCTTAGGGTTAGATCTGGTGAGTGAGGTAGATGTTCAATCAGTTCAAACTGTAATTCGTGGATTTTCGCTATGGCAACCGCTAAGGTGTGAGACGGTGCGTTGTGAAACAGGATTTTTTTTCTGCAAATGTAGCCGTTTTTCTGCAAGTTCTGCATCCAGCTTATCTAGGATTGATGCGTAGTATGTTTCTGTATTAGTTTTTCCATTTTGAACATAATCGATTGAAATAACTATCTCAAAAAATATTCGCTATCCCTTTCTCAACCGAAAAAACAGTTTTTGCTTTTTTTGGTGCCAGGTCCCCCTTTCCAGTCCTCTGGACTGTATTTTTGTGTTGCGCGTATAATGGTGTAATTTAGTCCAGTTCCCAGATACCAAAAATAGGATTCACCTTACAAAAGGCGGAGTAGAAGATTTTATTTTTTTATTTAGTTTTAATGGGTATAAAGACTAAAGTATAAAAAATGTTACTCGAAATTTTCGGACATTTTTTGTTTTTTTCGCAATATCTCGAAAATGAGTAGCTCTAGCGAAAAACAGTCCCTATACAAAGTTGTAGAGCAATACATCCATAATTTTTTCTTCTATGGCTGATAGGGAGTGAGCTACAGCATCTCAAAAATGGACCATTTTTCTCAAAATGGTAAAAAAGCCAAATAGCGACTCAAAAGTCTACTTGAAAGTGTCTTCACTTGTTTGAAAAAAGTTTTTTCCATACACATGTTCTCTCACTCTCTTGTCTCCTTTATTCCTTTGGTTGGTGATTAACTTTGTAATGGGGGGCTCACAGAAAAATTCTAGATCATTCTACTTCATTTTCATAACAATAACGCATATTTCGAATTTTCTGCTGAGCACCAGTTTGTGGAAAGAAAACTCTTTTCATTTCATTCACCATATTTTTGTTTCACTGTATTGACTTTAGGCCCTGATGAAGATTTTAAACAATGCGAAAGCTCGGCGAATAGGTTGAAGTGCTTTTTCTCACATTCATTGGACTGTAAAGGTTTCGATATGCCAACTCATTCCTCATGAGTTATCAAATTGGGGAGTGGGGGGTAGGGGGTGGTGGTGATGGGGGAGTCTGAAGAACCTTATCGGACTAAAATATAATTCGAAAATATAACCAAAGAATGCATGGGTCGCAATAACACACACAAAAGAAGGCTCTATTTGGCTTTTTTACCATTTTGAGAAAAATGATCCATCTTTGAGATGCTGTAGCTTGCTCCCTATCGGTCGTAGAAGAAAAAATTATGCAAAAAATTTGTAGGGAATTTAATGTAAAAAAACTGTTTTTCGCTAGAACCACTCCTTTTCGAAATATTGCGAAAAAACAGAAAAATGCCCAAAAATTTCGAGGTTTTTCGGCTACCAAAAATTGTGACGAGCTCAGATTCAGTCACATTTTTTATATTTTACTCTTCATACCCATTGAAACAAAATAAAAATTACATCTTCTACCCTACCTTCTGTAAGGTACAATTCTCTGGGAACTGGACTAATTAATCGGCGCCAAAACTCGGATTGATTGCGCTTGAACTGCGCTAGCAGATCGTTGGAAATGTTCATTTGTACACGTTTTTGGTCTAACGTGAGCAAACGTGGCACCCAACGTGCGGGCAACTCTCTCATGCCTAAATGTTGATTCAATATGTGACAAACACCTTTTTTGACATGTTCATAACCTCTGTCATCTCTCTCACTTCAATTCGGTGGTTATTTAGCACCATTTGGTGAACTTTGGCGATATTTTCGTCGGTAGTCGCAGTTTTTGGACGTCCCGAACGTCCATAGTCTCCTAAGCACTTAAGGTCACATTCAAATTCAACTGCCCAAAATTTCACTATGGTAAATGATGGTGCAGAGCCCCCGCACAGAATCCAACTCATATCTGATTGACATAGGCATATTGCCTTTCTAAAACAAATATTTAATGACGGCTCGATTCATTTTCATAAAAACACTTACATCAACTCTGTTCAGACTCATCTGTTAGGCATCTGTTCAACGGGGGATACAGAAACCCTTGCGAGATGATCGACCATCAACACTTCAAAATTGACCCTTCAGCAGGCAAGAGCTCAGGCGTTGTTTTACAATTGTGAATATTATTTTTGCTATACAACATTTTATACAACATTATATACTTCGAAAACCAGTATCACATTTTCACTTCACGAACATATGGTCTTTCGAGCCGGATATTAGAAGAAAACTGAAAATTAAAAATTACAAGTGGATCAAATAAGTATAACAAAGACATTTGTGCAGTGTATAATCGACCAAACAAGTTCTGAGGCGGAAGCAACGAGACAGTCGAGAACCGCAAGCTGGATGACTGGACTTTCACATCGTGGCAACTGGCGGTGACTTTGTTCCTTTTTCTGTCCTTTATTATACCATTCAATACGAATCAAGTGAAGATTTGAATATTTGTGAATTTCAATTCTCATTATACGTTGAAAAATAACGTTCACATACGTTATTATTTCGAGAATTATTACCTATACGATTTAGGGTGTTATACCTAATAAATTGAAATTATTCAATTTGAATTATACGAAAAAATAATCTGAGACAATGCCAATCAATAACATATTAACACGAAGACGAGCTAACCTTAAAACGTTGTTTAAGAGATACCTACAGGGTTTCCCAGAATCATTAAACAGAGAAGATGTAATTCAATTAGAAGACGCTTTCAAGCGATTGAACATACAATGCAGGAGTTTGATGATATACAGGGTGACATAGAGGCTGAAGTCGAAAATTTCCATGAGCAATTAAACGAACGGGGGGATTTTGGAATTAAATTTAATTCATTTATAGAGAAAGCTAAATCAACTCTGGAAAAATATCTAATGCTAGTAACAATACAAACGATAGTCGAGATTCGGCTCTTCACAATCAAAACATCTTGAAAGTTAAAGATTGCCAGAGTTAAAGTTGCCCAAGTTCGACGGCTCTTATGAAGCATGGTTAGAATTTCGAGAAATTTTTGAGTCATTATCAGACAAAAATCCTCAGATGAATGAAATTTAAAAATTTCATTTTTTGAGAGCCTCTTTGGTTGGATCTGCTCCTCAGGTAATCCAGTCACTCGAATTTACGGCAATAAATTATGAAACTGCTTGGGGTACGTTATGCGACAGATTTGATAATAAACGGTTATTAATTCACAACCATATTAGAGCAATATTTGAGCTAGAATCGATATCGCACGCAACAGCGGCAAAAATTCGAAACTTACGAGATAATTTATTGAAACATATAAGTAGCCTTAAAAAGTTAAGGGAAGCCACTGATTCCTGGGATTCTTAATCATTTATATCGCAGCAAGTGAGTTAGACATTACCACCGCCTGCTAAGGGGAAAGGGAAATCACGAAACACGATTCGATTACATTGAACATTTTTAACGAATGTATTGAAAAACGAGCCGATTTAGTCGAAACTAGAAATACATTTAAAAACAAAAGACGATAAACGAAATTAAACGAAATAAACGACGTGACACCAGATCACTCATGAGTCAGGTTAATGATCATGAGAACTACAAAAAAAAATCGTGTTTTTTATGTAAAAGGGAACATATACTTTTTTATTGTCCTGATTTTTCAACTGTCTGTCAAAGAGAGATATGCCAAAGTTAAATAACTTAAATTATGCAGCAATTAATATTACTGGAGTTTTTTCCAAAACCAAATC